GGAAAGAGGAAGCTTGAGAGTTCACAAGGTTAATGCTGTATGGAATGAAATTATGGCTGAATCTGGATGCTTTGCTACGGATACCACGAAGCCTCCTCCCAGATGGTAACAAGGAAAACAGATTGTAAAAAGGATGTGTAGTGTCCCAGATAATCTTACGGACTGCAACTGGTCCAGAATGCAGTAGTGCACTCAGTTTTGATACCCCATCGTTTGCCATATTATACCCAAACACATATTGCTGCATGAGTTCTGCTGGTTTCTAGCTCCTTTCCAGGTGCAATTTTTTGAATGCTGGTTTTTATTATTCCTTTTATGTTTCAATCATAAAAGCTGTCCAGAATTAGGTTATATAAAGTGAGCTTTTTAAATGAGAAAATGAATAAGGCCCAGTACTCTTCAATATCTTCATCAATGACTTAGATGAGAGAATAGAAGGGAAACTCATCAAATTCACAGATGACACCAAATTAGCAGGAGTAGCCAACACCCCAGAAGACAAACACAGGATCCAAAAAGATCTTGACAAACTTGAACAACAAAATGAGTTTCAATGTGGAGAAAAGCAAAGTCTTACATTTAGGCAGGAAAAACCAAAGGCACAAATACAGATTGGGAGAGACCTGGCTCAAAAACAATGACTGTGAGAGGGACCTTGGAGACCTAGTGGACGATCACTTGACTATGAGCCAAGTGTGCAGCAACAACCAAAAAAGTTAACAAAATCCTGGGTTTTATAAACAGAGGCATAGAATCAAGATCACGAGAAGTACTATTACCGCTTTATAAAGCCCTAGTAAGAGCACACCTAGAATACTGCAGCCAGTTTTGGTCCCATATCACAAAAAAGATGTTGAGGGAAAAAATTCAAAGAAGAGCAACTAAGATGATCAGGGGCCTGGAGACTAAAACATATGAAGAACAGCTGTAGGACTTGGGTTTAGCTAGTCTAAAAAAAAAAGAAGTAGGGGAGACATGATAGCAGTGTTCCAGTATCTGGGGGGCTGCCACAAAGCAGAGGGGGCCAGGTTGTTTACCAAAGCACAGATGGAAGGACAAGAAACAACAGTTGGAAACTGACCAAAGAGAGAAGCAACCTGGAACTAAGGAAAAATTTCCTGATAGTGAGGACAATCAACCAGTGGAACAACTTGCCCCCAGAAATCATGGGTGCTCCATCATTGGAGATTTTTAAGAAGAGACTGGACATCCACCTGTCTGAGACAATATAGGTTCTCCTGGGGTCCCTCTGTTTGAGTAGGGGGCTGGACTAGAAGATCTCCAAGGTCCCTTCCAGATTCTATTCTATTCTATTCTATTCTATTCTATTCTATTCTATTCTATTCTATTCTATTCTATTATGTAAATATGTATAAAAAATTCAGTAAACAGGCAAGGAGAAATATTGGAGTGTGAGGACATTCTGAATCCTGACTTCTGCAGTCACCTTTTCATTTTGTTTCTCTTTTGAAAATGATTGTGATGCCCTGAAATGGATTATTCCATTTCTGACATAATTGCAAAGACTTGATCTTGTGCATGTGCTGCAAGGTGGTTTGGAAAGTCTTAAGTCCTCATTTCTTTTTTTTTTCATGTAACATTGGTAGGGTACAGCTCTCATACCAGTCCCTTTTTGCCAAATCCTGTAAATTTATCTGCTGGCTGCATCTTGGTTTTCCTTGGCACACAGGTTTCAAAAGACAGCAAGTATACTTCATTTGGAAGGCTGGGACCTACTTTTTGGATGGCATGCCTATTTAATATTTAATAAAAAAGTGGATTGGGTTTTTAAGTCTCATATTATAAGAATCTCTTTGTTAAGAGTGTGGAGAAAGTATTATAAAAGTGACTTCAAAATACCATTATGGGCTATACCTCGGCATGCCATAGAAGGTATAAGGAAAGGGGTAAATATGGATAAGGTCTCTTACGCACAGTTACTAAGATGGGATGGCCAAGACTGTCAGTTAAAATCTTTGGAAGAATTAACACATGAAAATTTAACTTATTCATGGTTCCAATATAGACAAATAGTGGATAGATGGAAGATGGATGGTAAAATGGGCTGGCTTAGAGAAGATGGAATTTTTTTAAAAGAAGTAAGAGACCAAAGGCCAACCCATATTAAGAGAGTTTATGGGGTTTTAGTGGAATTAGATTCAGAACCTGAATTAGTTAAAGATTGTATGATTAAATGGGCACAGAATATTGGTGAAACGATTTCAATGGATATTTGGGAACTTATTTGGATAAGAAATGTTAAATTCACACAAGCGCAAAATTTAAGAGAGAATTTTTATAAGATGTTTTATAGATGGCACCTTGACCCAAAGAAAATGTCCATTATGTACCCTAATCTACAGCCGAAATGTTGGAGATGTGGATACTTGGATGCTACCTATTATCATATTTGGTGGACCTGTAAACATATAAAAGCTTTTTGGATTAAGATATGGTGGAATATTCAAAGAATTTTTAAAAGGAGGGTAAAATTTACGCCGCAATTATTTTTATTAGGTATTGTTATTGACTGTGATGCTAAAGAGGTTACATTGATGTTAAATTTGATTACAGCCGCTAGGCTATTAATAGGACAATATTGGAAGAAGGAATCTTTGCCTACTTTACAAGAATGGTTTTATAAAGTTTCGTATTTGGCAGAAATGGCAAAGATTTCGGCTTTCTTAAAGGAGCAATCTCAAGAAAAATTTTTTGCGGTATGGGAAAAATGGATAAATTTCATACAATATAATTTGGATATGGAAAAATATTATTTAGCTTTCTCATAATTTGTAATGAATGCTATTTCTTTCTTTCTTTCTTCTTTTTCCTTTTTATATATATATAATTTTTATGTATTATTATTCATATATATTTTTCGTCTATTTTCTTCCTTTTTCTTTCTCTCTCTCTTTTCTTTTTTTCATTTTTTTATTTTTTTTTTTTTTTTTTTTTCTTAGTATATATTACTTATTTTAAAGTTTATGTTATGCATATTATTATTATATATATTATTATTGTGATTTTTAATCATTATTATTAACTATTTTATAAATTGTAAATGTTATTTTTAAAAAATTTGTTAAATAATCCTATATCCAGTTCTGGGAAGTCGGGGGGGGGTGGGGGGGTTGGGGAGGGGGGGGGTGGATTTTTATTTGTAAAACTTTTGAAAAATTTCAATAAAAAAAAAAAAAAAAAAAAAAAAAAAAGACAGCAAGTAGATGGCAGCCAAGAGATATATTAAAAAAACCCTTTCCATTGCTGCCCTTTCATTGATCAATAATTACAAAGTTTTTCTTTTTATTTTAAGTTCACCAGTTAAAGATGTAAAGGGAAATACAAACCAGAGTTTTGATGTACTGGGTGAAGTTGATCAGGACAGGAAATTCATTTGAGAGAGTTACCTATCAGGGCCCTTGGTATGTTGCAGGTTGCGCAAGCAGCAGTGCAACAAGGAGCTGTTGTGGATGTGTGGTAAAGGCACACTATGATAAGAGCAAGACTTAGAGTGGCAAGGTTTCAGGCTGGATGTGTGGATGTAGCTTTTGAACATGTTAAAAAGTAGTTCAGACGTTTTCCTAGTTCAAACCTCCAAATATCACTAGCAGAAAAATTGCAGACACAAACAGACATAAGCTGCCAACAATAACATGGAAAAAACCCTAGCATTTTTACTTCAAGAAAACTAGCCAGCTTAGGAGAGGGTCAAGATAGTCTTTTTTATTATTTTGCAGGATACACAAATGCAAATTTAAAATGTATCTTTATTCCTTGATGGATCTGTAACATTTCCTGGAAGAATGCTGGATTTGAGTCAAGATTATGGATTTCACTTATTTTTATTTATTTATCTTACTTATATCCTGCCTTTATTATTTTTGTAAATAATTCAAGGTGATAAACACACACAATATGGCAAGCTGATAAGAAACTTATTCACCAAAGCCTATTTTGTGACTATTATTTTAATGTTCCCACTACAAAAGGAAAGTAATCCTAAAAAGTTTTAAGAGCTGTGTAATATCAGGGGGAAAGTGTTCTACCTTGCTTGTTTTTTGAGGGGTTTTTTTGGCTAGTTTTTGATAGCAAATGCACGTTCCTCCCTCTTTTGGTTTAGGAAGGGGAATATAAAAATGTGATTCATTCACTCTGAAGAAGTACAGACTGTTCTCTCATTTTAATTTGGTGCATGAGCAGTTTGGACCTCAAATGTTCCACCAAAGAAGCTGGCATTTTTTTGTTAATCTGAAAGGACAGTTTTTTGATCTAAGTTAAAGAATGTACTTTTCACATACACAAATAGTGGGAGTTTCTTGTGTGAAGCATCTTTCAGTGGAGTTTTTTTGGGTTGTTTTTTTTTTTTTTTTTTTTTTTTGCTCTTTAAATCTCTGCTCCTGAAGGATGAAGTCTGACAGTTTGGAGACATACAGTGGGGCTGAGTTGTTCAAGAGCACAGTCTGAGTGGGATTTATGATATGCTTAAAACCTCACAAAATTATAGCTGGAAGAAATTTGGGCATGGGTGACTGGTGGATACACACCCACACCCGGGAGGTAGTATTTTGTGAAAATGAGCATCTCAATAAGAGAAGGAGATTCAGCGCTGCTATCTTGTAACAGAAAGGCTGTGAAGAGGTGGTCAGGCTTGCAAATGGGCATCCTGAAGGGTCTACAAAATAGAGGTTGGTTACCAGAAAGTCCTGAGTCTATGCTCTGCAGAGGGTTAGAATATACTACTCTGGGTGTACTCTAATGACTGTAATTCTTATTAAATGTGCGAATTGCTGAGGAGCTGATCAAAAATCTCTCCCCTCCCTGTAGTTTGGCTGTGTTTGGTTTCTAGCTTTGTAATCTTTGCTGCTTACTTCGCCACTCCTTTCTCCTTTTCAGGTTTTTTTTTGGGGGGGGGGAAGGAATTGCTGCTGCTGCTGCTGCTGCTACTGCTCTCTTTTGTTTACAAGATGTGTTGACTGTGTATTTCGTTTCTCCCTCTCCAGCTGCTCCAATGCACAGATGCAGAAGATGGCTTAGCAACAGACCAACCTTCTCCCATGCTGGGGTCCCTCTGTGCCCGGACTGATGTGAATCTTTTGTTTTGGATTGAAGAAACTTGTTCCGAAAGCCATTCTTCCCTAATTCATGAGCCAGCAGGATGTGATCGCCGTCCTTTCAGAACGCCTTCTCATAGCTGCCTACAAAGGGCAAGTGGATAATGTGGTGCAGCTTATCAACAAGGGTGCCAAGGTAGCTGTTACCAAGGTAACAAGAGAAAAAAAAACTCCTTACAAATTCACTGAGAGCTAAGCTTACTCCCAAAGTATTTTTTTTTTCCTCCTGTGATAAATGTCTTCTGGCTTTTGAAAGTGGAATTGTTCCAGAGACTGGTATGGATGGATGGGTGTGTGGGTTGTTTTTTTTTTTTTTCATTCTGCAGTTGCATTTAGGTGTCAAATAATTTTCCTTCTCTTCTGCTGTTTTTTTTTTCCCCTCTGAAAGGGGAAGAAGCAAAATGCTTTGGCTAATAAAATGTGCAGTTTTCAAAGCAGATTTTGCATTTGTGTTGGCAAGATTGAGTGCGGTGAAGTGGAGGCTGGGGACAAATTGAACCAAGGTCCTTTGGGGGTTTCCTGAGATGGAGAAATGGAGGTGGGATTAAATACACTTTAGAAGGAGGAAAGCATTTTGGGGGGAACAACAGGTGCTACATCATGTATTTCATAGTTTCAAATGGCTGAGACCATGTTGAATGCTTGTAGTGTATTGTATGTTGTGCCCATTCTACTAATTCTCCAAATGAAGATTTTAAAGTAGTGAATCAGACTTACAAAACCTCGAACTAGTCCATTGAGTGCCATCAAAATTTAGCTTCAGATAAGATTTTTTTTGCAACCATGAAGCTTAAAAATGGGGGACTGTTAAAAAACAAAAAGCCCCCAAATTCTCAGTTGTCTTCATCTTTCTCGGGAGAAGGATTTATTCCTCTGATGTTGTTCAAAGAGACACAATTGACAAGCAACTCCTTGCTGATTCTGTTCTGAAAGGATCTCAGCCTGTAAACTGGGAAAGTAGCTGTGATCTGACTTGATTGCCAGGTTTTTGTGCTTCACTCCAGATACCACAATGATCAGGAAAATGTAGATAAGGAATCAAAGTTGCATGCAGTTTCTTCCTCTGAACAAAACAAGTTCTAAATAAGATCAGGGAACCACATTCTGACAACACTGTCAGTTTTAACACACACACACACACACACACACACACACACACCCAAAAGAGAGAAGAACTGATGGCTCACTTATCTATAAATTTAAGAATGGCTTCTGCTATCTGCCAGTGAAAAGAAATTATTTTCCTCTCTCTTCTTATGTTTCTTCACCTTCTTTCCTTCCTTCATTTATATATGTGTATTCTACTTCTTTTGATAGTTTCTTGGGCTGGTGCATCACAACTCGGATTTGTAGACATTAAAGTAGTAGGTGTATATCTAAAAAAAAAAAAAGGCAGAATGCAAAGCAAACACAAATGTGTTTGTATTCCTCAGTATTATATAAATAAGCTTACCAGTAAGAGATGATTGACTACAGTTCATTGTTAGGTGTACATGTTTAGCAGTATGTCTGTGTTTACCTTAGAGTAAAGTATTGAAATGACATTATAAGTGAAAGTTGGGGGGGGGGAGTCTGTCTGTAAGGACCTACCTCAGCTAAGACACTGTCTTAGTTTAGGAAAATAAAATGAACTGTATGGTGGATCAAGAATTGGTTTACAGACAGAATGTATCATGTTTCCATGAAAATAAGACCCAGTCTTATATTTTTTGTGCCTCCAAAAGAGGCACCAGGTCTTATTTTCAGGGGATGTCTTACTTTAGGACCGGCAGAGGCAGGCCTCCTATGCCCCGACACCTGTCATGCCACAGCTTGACTTTTTCAGCCGCTGCTTGCCACTGCTTGTGGCCAGACATCACGTTTCGCTGGTGTTTCAGGCCGCTGCCATCCTTGTGGCGGGAGGCTGCTTGGTACTTCAGGGCGGTGCCGCCACTTGCGGCTGCATGCCATGTGGCGCTGCTCATGGCAATGCCGCCCTCGCGGCAGGAGGCTGTGCAGTGTGTTGTGTTGTGACGTGTGCAAATGGTGGCACTGGCCCGAAGCCCCACATGGCCTCCTGCTGCGAGTAGCCACACTGGCCCAAAGCACTGTGTGGCCTTCCACGAGCAGCAGACGGGCCCAAAATACTGCATGGGCCCCTGCGATGAGCAGTGACACCAGCCCAAAATGCTGTGCAGCCTCCTGCCCTAAGCAGCGGCACCAGCACAACTGGCGCGATGAGCCATGCATCCGCAAGCGGCCATAGAAGAATTTGGGCAATGGTGCAACAGGTGTCGGGGTGTGGGAGGCCTGGCTGCAGCAGGCCTACCATTGAGGTAAGTGGGTGCAGCTTACCACTCCCGCCCTAGCTTGATGTTTAGGTGTGTGCATCGCCCCAAAATTAGGGCTTATTTTGGGGGTAGGGCTTATTTTCGCGAAAACACGGTATCAGAGTTCTTTGAAATAACTCATTAAACATTTTTTGTATTTGGGTTCAGCTGAAATTGTAAAATTGACTTTTGAAACCTTCTGTTTCCTAGAATTGTTTGGAATAGTGGCTGGATGCGGGCGTAGACATTTTTGCATTTGTTGGTTTCGTTGCAGTTAGCTTTGTACTTCAATAACACCTAATTACAGTAATTTTAAGACGTGCAGTGCATAATTTAAACCCATACAAGAGTCAAGATGCTAGCTTTCCCAGTCATCATAGATGCAAAGCTGGAAAATAAAGGGCAGAACAGTTGGTTCCACCAATATTTGGCAGGGGATGCCATGAATGGTGAAAACGGGTAATTATTGCAGTCCTGTTTTAAAACAGGATAATCTTTTAGATGTTGTGCTTCATATGCTATTCAGCTCAGTACTTCGACTTACAACCACAATTGGACTGGAATCTTGGTTGTTGAGCAAAGCAGTTGCTAAGTGAGATGTCACACAAGTGCTTTGCTCAATGATAGCAATTCCAGCACACCTGATTGTGATTGTTTAGGGATTATGTGGGTGGTTAAGCAGATGGAGCCCCAGATAAGGAGTGCAAGGTGCCTTGGGGGGGGGGAGACCCTAGGAGGCTCTGATCAGGAGCTGAAAATCCTCCCTGCTGAAATCCAAGCAGGATTTCACCCCTTGAATTGAGAGACTGTGTGTGTGTGTGTGTGTGTGTGTGGCCTGTGCTGGGTCTCCCAAGGATGTCCCTTTCTTTATCACACTGTCTCTGCTCAGGAGCTGAAAATCTTACCTATTGAAATACTGTATAAAAAGGAGACTGGGAAATAATTTGATTTAATTTTATTGGTGATCTAAATGGAAGTTGTTTTGTAAAAAGCTATTTTTTGCTGAATCTAAAAATCTTTTTGTTTCTGTGGGAGTGAATTCAATTTGCGTGGAGTTCTTTGTTTACTTTCCATGACAGCAGCCCAATGGCCTTTTATAAATAGGGCGATTCCACAAGTAAGAGTGATATTCCATGCGATTAATATAAATAAAAACAACATAACATTCTATTTGGTACTTCTTGTTAAGTATCAGAATAAAGTGTCTTTCACCCAAGATATATCAGCTACATTTCTAATAGAATTGTATTAGACTTTTTCACCCTTTAAATGGCAAACTTCTGCTCTTCTACCAGTTCCATTTAAAACTGGCCTAGGAAAGAACGTAAGAATTGGCCTGGTGGATCAGGTCAAGGTCCATTTTTATCCAGCATTTTGTTTCTTACAGTGGCCGACCAGTTCCTTCTAGAGCAGGGGTCCCCAACCCCCGGTCTGTGGACGAGTACCGGTCCATAGCATGCCAGCAACCGGTCCACACAAACAAGCAAAGCCCCATCCATGGCATGCAGGCAGCACACAAAACCATGCACTCTCTGGTCTGTGGAAAAACCTTTCTCCACGGAACTGGTCCCTGGTATCCAAAAGGTTGGGGACCTCTGTTCTAGAGTGCTCCTAAGCAGGAGATGGAGACATCTTTTCCTGCCTGGTTTTCTTACAACTCTGGCCCCAAATCACTCAATGAATTTCCATGGCTGAGAGCAGTCTTGAACCTGGATCTCCCCAGTCTTAGCACAACACCATAACCACCACAACATCAAACCATCTTTGGCCATTTCTATATCTTTGTGGTAATGATTTTCACAGGTTAATTATATGCTAGGTGAAGACATACAGTAGTCCTTGACTTACAGTCATTCATTTAGTGGCTGTTCAATGTTTAAAAGGCACTAAAAAAAAAAAGCAGCTTACACACTTACAACCGTTGTAGCATCCCCACAGTCAGGTAAATCAAAATTCAGATGCTTGGCAACAGACATATATTTGTGATGGTTGCAGTGTCCTGGGGTCATGTGATCATTATTTACAATCTTCCTGGCTGACTTCCAACAAGCAAAGTCAATGGGGGAAGCCAGATTCGCTTAACAACCATGTGATTCACTTAACAGCAGCAAGGTTTGTTTAACAACCGTGGCAAAAAAGATTATAAAATTGGGTGTGCCTCAGTTAACGACCCCCTTGCTTAGTAGCGGAAATTCTGGTCCCAATTTTGGCCTTAAGTGAACCCGCATTTCCTTTCTTGTCTATTCAAATCTCCTGCCCATCAGCTTCACTAAATGACCTAATGACAATTCCTGATATTTCGAGAGGGAAAAAAATTCCCTATCTGCACTGTCCGTGCTATGCATGACTTTATATAATTCAATTATTTTCCTTTTGTGATCATCTTTTTTTTCTAACCTCAGGGTCCCAAGTAATCTTAAGCTTTCTTCTAAGGAAAGTATTTGCGCCCCCCTGCCCTGAAAAGTACATATAGCATCACCTCTGCTCTCTCCTACCATGCAGTACCATGCAGGTCTCTGTCCATCAGATGGCTGAACCAACCTCCACCCTGCCTTGCCCCCCCCCAAGATTAAATCTTCTTTGCAAGACATTGACTTTAAACAGAAGAGTCTGGGAAGTGAAATTATAATATGTGTCTGTAAAAGAGCAGTGCCCTGCCAGATGTCCTGCTGCCAAGCTGGTAGGAAAAGAAAAGAAAACAAAAAGACTTCATAACCTCTGACCTCTGCTGGAAAAAATATGTCAGCGCTGGTGACAGAATGATATCCTTTGCCAAAACTGAGGCAAGGAGAAAACTAAGAAAGGTCATACTGCATTCTCCTAGTGCAGGGGTGTCAAACTG